ACACTTTGGTGGTGATTGGAAGGTTACGACTGAGCGCTCAAATGGACACAAGGGATTTAAATATAGTCCAATTATTCTAAGCAAGTACAAGCAGCGCAAGTACAAGAAGAGCAGCAAGCCCCTTACCGGAGGAGAGTAGCAGCGAAGGGGTGCTCTTCTTTATAAGCAGCTAAGAAGAGCAGCCCCTTTAATGCAATTGGCAGCCTAGTTTGCAGCAAACATAGCATACTGCAGCCATAGAAGCGAGCAATGAACGGATCAGAGATCGCAGATTCTACCTGGCCTAAAAGCTTCAGCATCCATTTAAAAAAGTCTATAACAACAGCATATAATAACTCCTCAATCTGACAACCCACGTGAGCATAGACAAAAATCCTTACCAATACACTAGATTGCTTACTACTACTTACTGAACAACTAGCCTTAAACAACGAGCAATATTTGACAATAGCATATTTGCCAACATAGCGTTAAGCAATGAGAATGAAATAGGAAACTTAGCAGGAAATGTTGCTTAATAATATATATATGGGGGAAGCAACACACCAAGCTCAGCAAGTGAGGAACCAGAGGAAAACGACTGTAGTTTTGTCTATGCTCACGTGGGTTGTCAGATTGAGGACACGTAACACAACGAGCACAAATGTCAATGGGAGATGGCCAAACTAGAAACTGATGAGTTGATTTGAGTTATTATATGCTGTTGTTATAGACTTTTTAAATGGATGCTGAAGCTTTTAGGCAAGGTAGAATCTGCTATCTCTGATCCGTTCATTGCTTGCTTCTATGGCTGCAGTGCGCTATGTTTGCTGCAAACTAGGCTGCCAATTGCATTAAAGGGGCTTGCTGCTCTTCTTAGCTGCTTATAAAGAAGAGCACCCCTTCGCTGCTACTCTCCTCCGGGAAGGGGCTTGCTGCTCTTCTTAGCTTCTTATAAAGAAGAGCACCCCTTCGCTGCTACTCTCCTCCGGGAAGGGGCTTGCTGCTCTTCTTAGCTTCTTATAAAGAAGAGCACCCCTTCGCTGCTACTCTCCTCCGGGAAGGGGCTTGCTGCTCTTCTTAGCTTCTTATAAAGAAGAGCACCCCTTCGCTGCTACTCTCCTCCGGGAAGGGGCTTGCTGCTCTTCTTAGCTTCTTATAAAGAAGAGCACCCCTTCGCTGCTACTCTCCTCCGGGAAGGGGCTTGCTGCTCTTCTTAGCTTCTTATAAAGAAGAGCACCCCTTCGCTGCTACTCTCCTCCGGGAAGGGGCTTGCTGCTCTTCTTAGCTTCTTATAAAGAAGAGCACCCCTTCGCTGCCTTCTCCTGTAAGTTGCTGCTGCCCCAGTCTCTGTTATTCCAGAAGGATATGCTTCTTTCAGAATGCCATCGGTTGTGGTTTGGGCGGTTCTGGCCTATCGTTTGTGTTGGGGGGGTTATTATTGCTGCTCTCCCTGCTCATTCATGACAGGCTGCATGGATGGGCAGGGAGGTTTTTGCCCAGAACAGAACCATACCGCCAAACCAAACTTTATGCTAAGTATCTATCATTTTGACGATAGTGGTCCTGACAGAACTACAACGATGCTCTTGGCATAATAAGAGGTTGTTGTTTTTCTGTTGGCTCAAGTCGTACTACCATCCTTTGAATCACATCCTCATCATGTATATTTAGAAACAATTTCCTATGGAGCATAAGCAAACCTTCCAGAGCAGGGTGAGGCGTCTCTTTCCAGCTTCTTCTGCAGGTTGGATGAGTCTCCAGAGCCGAGGAGCTGTAGACGGAGCTGAGGAAAGATCAATCCAAACTCATCTTCATCCATACAGCCACATTCAACAACACTAACAGACTCAAATCACTCAAACAGACATCTCTCTTTGTCAGCAAACTGATCGTAAAAAGAAGTGCATTTTAAATCTTAAAAGTATATATTTAAAAAACTGTACTTGCAGAAAATATAATATTAATAAAATGAAAAGTACTTAAAGAGTACACTTTCATGACTGTTTCTTAACACACTTAAGTATACTTTTAAAAACTACACTTTGTAATAATGTAAAATTAAAGGATTGAAGTACATTTTAAATCATTACGTTTTAATAATCTTTTGTCTTGCTTTGAAGTACACTTTTTTGATGTGTTGACTAACATAAAGCACAGGTAAAGTACTTGATGATTATAATTTTAACTGTAGTGAGTTATTTCATGTTAAAGTTAATATATTTTTAATATACTAAATTGCAACTTCATCATTAGCAATGTGTAAGTAAAATATATATTTAAATGCAAGACGTACAAATCACCTCTTAAGTTCAACTACTTTGCACTTACAAACAACATGAAATTAAGTGTCTGAAAACCTTACATTCATACAAACTTAAGTATTTTCTTTAAAAGTATATTATTACCACAGAGCACTCTTTTAAATATATGCCAATGTAAACCTATTTTTCACAAAGTTGAACAAAATTGATATATGATCGAACCAAATATAAAATTAGACCATTAGGCCCATCTGCAATCTAACGCAATATTTCATATTATAATATCATGTTATAGTTATTATATTTTTAATGTACTAAATTGCAAATTCATCATTAAAAATGTATAATTAAAAACAGATTTAAATACATGACTTCAACAGAAATGATATTAAAGTATATTTTAGTATACCATAAATGCTTGTCAGTACATTCAGCAGTACACTTAACTTGTACTTAAGTGGGTCAAAAAAAGCACTCTAAAGTAACTAATTGCATTTAATATAAATTTAAACTATAACACATTTGAATTTAATTGTAAATAACATGCAATTACAGTAAGTATCTGAAAACATTACATTCCACACTTAAGTATATTATTTCCATAACAAGTACTCTTTTCTCAAGGGTAGTATTGCTTTGACTAATTGTCTGTTTGGTGGCATGTGAAAATGCATGCTCATTTTAAGAGTTCAAGCCTTAGTAAGCATCAAATGTCAGAGTCTCACCTTTCTCTGCTGTGGTTGTGTCTATAGAGGTCCACGAGCTCCAGTGAGCGTGTGCTCGATTGTCCTGAGTCCTCAGTCTCACTGTATACTTGGATCCTGGGTGAAGGTCACACAGCTCAAACGTCTCCTTGGAAAACGCTTGTATAGTCTGGGATCGGGTCTACAGGAGAGAGCTTTATTAATGGTCTAATCTTATATATAGTCCAACTATATATCAGTTTTGTTAAACCTTGTGAAAAAGAAGTTCACTTTAGCATACTTTAAAAAGGAGTACTGGAATTATTCTATTTTAAAAGAATGTACTGAATGTAATGTTTTCGGACAGTTAATTGCATGCTATTTACCATTACATTAAAACGTATTGCAATTATTTGATCTTAAGAGTGTTATTTTTGTCCTTGTGTAACCCCTCTCTCCTGGGTCCTCACCTGAGCACCTACTCTCTGGCCTCCGTTACACTCACCCCCCTAAACCTCACTCCCATCCGGGTCACGGCACCAATGTAACCCCTCTCTCCCAGGTCCTCACCACCACACCTCGTTCTTGTTCCAAGTGGGTCTCGAACCCGGGTCTCCAGGCATGGGAGGCGGACGCACTAACAAGGAGGCTAAAGACTGCAGCCTCTAGCATCAGTCGCTAGTGCATCTATTGAGATCAGGGGAGTGAGGTTTTACCTGCACTGCACATACTCTCTGGCCTCCGTTACACTTGCTCCTTCACATTTCCAATATAGTAACGTGTACTGATGAACGTACTGATAAGCATTTATGGTAACTAATATATACTTGTGTTTTCTGCAATTTCTGTTGAAACATGAATGTCATCTAATTAAATAAGCCTATATTTTTAATCACACATTTGTAAAGATTAAGTTTAGTACAGTTTAAATGTAAATTCAGTTCAAATTGTAATCAATATTTTACATGTGATTTAGTATGTTAGTCAACTCATCCCATAAGCGTGCCTTTTAAGCAAGATAAATGATTATTAAAACAATGATTTAAAGTGCATTGTAAAGTAAAAGTATTAATGTAATACTTTTTAAAAGTGTACTTCAGTGTGTTAAATGCAGTCATGAAAGTGAACTCTTTTTAAGTACACTTAAGTGGTCTTTTATTTCATTAATATTATATTATCTGAAAGTACAGTTCGCTTTTTAATGCTTTTAAGACTTGATGTACAGGTACATTACAAGTGCACATTCAGTACAGTTAAGTGCACTTCTTATTGAAAATTAAAATTCTGTCATTGTTTACTTTCTTCTGTGGAAGACATAGGGAGATGTTTTGAATAAGCTTTTAGAGCAAAGGCACCACAAAAGCTGTCTAAATGACTCATGCACTGCAATCTGCCTTCTGAGGTCAAACAACAGCTTTGTGTGAGAAAAAGACTGAAATAAAAGTCATAATCATAAGTTTATGTTTGAAGACATGAGGGTGAGTAAATGAGGACAGAATTGTAATTTTAGGCAAGTTTTAGGTGAACTATCTCTCTTATAGCTGTTATATTTTAGTCATATATGTACAAACCTGGTTGTGTGTCGTGTACTCCATTTGGAGCAGTATGTAGACTTGCTCATTCTTGGGAAAGCTCTCAGCCATTCTCCAGATCACCTGCAAACACCCAGACCTTCTCTCTGATGGCTTGAGAGCTTTTATCTGTGGAGGAGGAAGTTTCACTGCAGCAGAGAGAGAAAACATAATGAGAAGACAAAAGAAAAGACTCTTTATTTACAGGTTATTTACAGTGGTCAGGCATGAAATGCCTTTGGCATAATGGATTTAGGTACAAAGCATGATGAAAAATGACTGTAAACATTACAATATAGATGGAAATGAGTCATTTACAGAATATTTTTTAGGTAGGTGTCACCAATATGAAAGCAATAATAATATGAAAGTTTGCGTTGTCACAACTTGACCTGTTACAATGGCAGAATGGAATACTAGCATACTGCTTACTGTGTGTACTGCACACTGCATTATTAATAGTATGCATTTAAGCATGTGAAATAATGTGAATAATCGATAAGGATTAGTCACAAACATTTCAAACATTAGCATGCTACAAATCTACAATATATACACTACTGTTAAAAGTTTGGGGTTTGCAAGGCTGCTTTTATTTGATCAAATACAGTCAATATTATTATATTTTCTATTTGAATATATGTTAAAATGGAATTTATTCCTGTGATGCAAAACTGAATTTTAAGCATCATTACTCCAGTCTTCAATGTCACATGATCAGTCAGAAATCATTCTAATATGCTGATTTGTTACTGACGGTTGCATATAATCTGGGTATTATATGCATAATAGAAATTAGTAGACATAGTATTCACCCTGAAATGGAAGGAGTAGCATGGTTGTATGCTATTGTGAACACAGCTGCTACAATCTGCACAGAATTCGTTGGATGCATGTTAATGTTGTTTCGTGATGTGTAGTACCTGCATTGACCCCATTAAAGAAATACGGCGGTGAGCGTATGGCTCCATTGCGTGTGGACGCCATCACATCTGCGCAGAAACAGTGTAACGCTGAATCAATGGGCTGAACGTAGCAGTTAGAGCCTCTGGTTTTACAGAACCCCACCGGGATGAAGCTGTGTTTACTATCACAAGAGGTTCTGGGCAGAATAACACAGGAATATTCACACTCACTTACATGCTTGCAAATAAAATGAACGGTGCTTTAAAGAACACAGAAACCAAAACACTGAGTGCAACATCAAGAACTTGTTTCATCTGCAAAGGACTATATAGCAAATAAAGCTGCTTCAAAAACCATTGCAATGAGTCAATATGAATACTAAACTTGTGCGTGGCAATTTAAACCACCTGTTGATTTTATCTGTTCTCTGACTACTCAAAACCATACTGACAGATTGGTAAATACTTTCAAATCAAGATAACAAGTTAGTTAGTTAGTAGACTTAAACTAATAAAAAGATCAGTAAATCCCCTAAAAATTATAAAAGGGTGTTTATTGATGTATATGTAGAAGCATTTCAAATGAAAAACCAAATTAAAGGTGAAGTGACTTCCCAATGCATGAGACTTGAGTTAATGGACTTTAACATGTTTCCTGAAACATTCATGTTTATCAATTATCAGTTTCAATGATCGGTACAAATGTGCATGTTGGTTGACAATAGTCACGACAATCAAAGCACTAAAACATAAGAAACCTACTGAATCAAACATCAGCAGTAAAGTAATATGCAAAGTTAATTCCCTTAAATATATCATTATTATTATTATTATTATTAAAAATGTATTACAATATACAATGAAAAAAATGTTTCATTCATCCAATTATAAAAATTTAGGGTAATGATTCACATCGATATTTTTTATATAGATGTGATACCGATGTCGATACTGATTATTACAGATCAAGTAGACCGATAACCGATATTTTGAACCGATATATATATGTCTGGTTTAAAAATTAAAATTCATGTCAAATTTAAGAATAACAAGGGCTCTGACAAAAACTGCCTTTCCTGGTGTTGGTTGAGTGTAGTACTCCCACACTGCACTTTTTACTCTTGTCTTCCTCTGTGCATCCATCTACAATAAGGGTAATATAAAGAGAGAGTTAAAAGTGGGGCCACTGTATGCTTCATGATTAAGCCTATGAATACTGTACTACAGCTAAACAGCTTGGGGAAATGTAAGTATTTGGCTTCAATAATTTACATGTTAGAAATGTATGTGTAATAGCATAACCTCTCATAATTCCTCATTAATTCTTTTCTGATGACTAAAACATAACCTACAATAGTAGGGATGACTATTCAGTTCATCATCTAATGCACATCAATGGATTAACTTAAAAAATGTATATAATAAGTGTAAATAATTGAATTGTCTTCATAGCTATATTGTAGAAGTCGTTAAGAAGACTGCAACTATTTTCATGAAACTATTACACTAATAGCCTTTTACAGGCACACTTAGTTCAATAGCCTATTGACATGTCTTGGGCTATGTGACACTAGAAATTTCAGTTAGTTTTAATTTACAGTACAGTGCAAATGAAGGCATAAATCAGTTTAATTTATCTTTTAATCAAATGAGAGTTCAACTTAATTTTTTTTGGCAAAGGGTTTACTATTAAAATAAAAACATGGACGAAATAGCGTATTGTGTGATTATTCTTTTAAACAAAAGTTTTAATAATTGTTGTATGCATTTCATACTGCACCACAGTAATATATTTCTGATAATTTATTTAAGCTAACCCGAACTTATATTTTGACGGGTTGCCATGAGAAAGTTTCTGTAGCCTATGTAAGTGTTTCCCATACATTGATTTATTTGTGGCGCCCGCCACAGTATCAAAACTGACCGCCACAAATAGATTTTCCAAAAGGCTTTGACTTTGTTGAATAAACATGAGCACTGCACGTTTCAAAATTGAAACCCGGTGCGGGTGTTTTTATATCACTGTATTTCTGAAGGAACCCGACTGTCTTCAGAAATTTTTGGAAGTCATTTTCATTTCATCTTGCATGTAATGTCTGATAAAGCAGCGTTTGTGAGCGGAGCGCTGCTTTGTGTACAGCGTTACCGGGGAAACCTTAATATCTACAACTCCAACAGTGCCTACTGCTGCCAGAGAATGAATTTGCATATATATGCCTCCACAAGTATGTGGGAAACACTGCGATAATTTTACTCAAATTAAACTGTCAAATGATCATGAAGCGACTCTCGGAGGGAGTCAGAGCAGTTCTGGAGATGTTGTTCATGTATTTATGTCCTCATGTAGTGAGTAGGGATGTGCGCAACGACTAATTTGACTGTCGTTTAAACGGAAGTTTTGTATCCGACTAGTCTAAAAGCAAGAAACCCCCAAAAGATGGCAAGAAAAAAAATCTTTGTGCATGCGTGTATATTATAGCCTACATTTGAAATACTTAATCTATGAATCACACTGTCAAATCCCTCAATGAATTCTGCTAAAAATAGGTCACAATTATGTCGTACGCTTGCCTCGCATTATCATCATTTAATTTTAGGCTGTCATTAAAAAGAAAAAAAAAAGAAGAGCACACACTCAACATCAGCCAATGCTTATTTATTCAAATCAGCTGGGGAAATGCAGAACAATGCAAAATCAATCAATAGCCTGACATAATTCTTCATCTCATATAACGTTTACAACATATTAAATCACAAGTCAAAAACAATAGGACATTTTTATCAAGGAATAGCATTAAAACGGCTTCTAAAAACATACTTCATCATGTAGCCTAGGCTATATCATCTAAAAACAAAACGACCAAAAGTGTACAGACCTACTTATGATTCATTCATCCAAAATTTGACAAATCCGTGACATTTCGCATCATACAGTAAATTCCATTTATCTGACTGGATTCCGCGATTTCGTCCACATTTTCTGCATTGCGAAAATCATAGATAATATTGAGGTGTTTTGCAACTTCAGTGTAACGTTAGTGGATTGTGATTTATTGCAAATTAAGCAATGTCTGCTGATGCGTTACCTTTGAGAGACAACTGATGCGTGATCACTGAAGCAGCTCCAGTTCGCAAGCGCTTTCGGAGTGAGAGTGAATTCCGCATTGATTGGTCGGACTCGTGACTCCCAACAAATCAGATGGGCGGTGGGCGGAGACTGCTCTAGGCCACAGAGTGGTGAGTTCTGACAGGCTGCATCAGAGCCAAATAGCGCGTTTCAAAATTAAGTTATTTTATAGGTGAATCGGTTTTGAAAATGACCGATACCGATAATCATAAAAATGCTTAATATCGGCGCCGATAATTGGCCAGGCCGATAATCGGTCGACCCCTATGCTTGATCAACGCTGAGGATTCTTACTGGAGTCTGTCTTGTCAGCTGCATCCTAACAGAGGAAGAAACAGATCGACAAAAGACATTATCAAGTCAGTTAGATAATACTGTTGTCAAATACTCAAGATCATATACTGCGTTCACACCATGTTCTACTTAGAGCTGTTCATGTTCTTGGACCGGGAATTGTGCATTTCTATGGCAACACTATCGATGCCTAAATTAATCTGCAGCAGTCAGGTACAGTCACGTGGAACAAGTAGAAGCTCTCAGAAAATTCCCAGATTACAGATGGTAGTTATAATTTCTACAAGGACATGAATTCTTTTTCCTAGTTGGAATCTTGTAATTATGGCAAATACAACATGGGATGAATGCACTTATACGTACCTGGTTTACTGTAAAAAGAGCTGGCCTTTGGGTGATGTCAGGCTTGTCGTTGATAACTTTTCTGTGAAGATCAAACATTAAAGTTACAGTCTTTATAAGGGCATCTGACTTAAGGGTTTACATTTAATTGTGCAGTGTGCCAGTCAATAAAGTGATCCTCCTCAGAACAGGTCTCAGTTAACCCACATGACATACTGCTGATCTGGAGTTTTGCTATGAGGTGGCATAAGTGTACATTTTAGTGCATAAATTCATTTAAATGTATGTACATGCCTGATGTGAACAATGACATTGTTTCGTTCTTGTATAACTTCTATGTTTGAACATAGAGACAGGGTTTCACAGACAGGGCTTAGCTTAAGCCAGGACTAGGCCTTGGTTAAAATAGGATATTTAAATAACTTCTATAAAAATGCTTGAACGTGCATTTTAGTCTGAGACTGGCCTGTGAATCTGGGGGATAATGTTTATATTACGTTAACGTTAGCTGTGCTCTCTTTTCACAGTTATGAGGGCCATACTTACACTTCCAAAGCATCTCTTCCATTTCATCTCTTCTCTTCCTTCCAAAACAGGATAGTCATTAAGAGGGCTCTGAACCTAGACAGAACAGAAGTATATTCATCCGTTTTTGTATTTATACCGTTAATTAATTTAAACGTACTCTTTCAAACAACAGCCATGTCTATTAAACGTGGTCGTTAAATTATTGCACTCACCATATTAGCGCCACCAACGTCTCTCCTCCGCTACAATCGCGGCTGCTGTATGAGTAAAATTAACTTACACTCCTCATAAACAACATCGAGTGAAAAAGAAAAAGGAAAAGACGAAAATAATTTCAGTCGAACTCGCTGGTCCGGGGTTCAAGCGCGGTTTTGTGCGCTGCAGGCGCGTGAGAAAACTAGCTAACGTTAGCTAACAGATGAGAAATGTCCCGTCGTTTAAACAAACAACAATTTTCGCCGATCACAAACAGTCTCTCGAGGAAAAGAAAGAGCAAAAAAAAATGTAAATGGCGGAAAATAACGTCCATACACCTAACTTATCTAAAACAAAGTTTCCACCTTCTCATCCACAGCTCGCTGAATTCACACACAATCACGGTGACAAAATGGCGTCGTTAATAGACTTGCAGCCCCAGTGTGAGGAGGCGTGGTCATGATATAAATTTAATAATAGGAGTTAATCTAACCTTGATATTTTACATTCGTCAAAACACATATGTCTTAGTTGAGCTCTTAATGAAAAAAAAATATATTTATCAATGTTTTGAACTAAAGAAAAATATTACTTGAAAAATAAAACAAATAATGGTAAATTGAATTGAAAGAAAAATTATTATTTGGATGAAGTACTGCTTGAAAAACTTTTTTCAGTGTACTGCAGTATGAATATTTAAATAAACAGATAGATATGACAGTACTGATGTGATACATGTCCAAAACCCATGCTAATAGATGATGATTTGGATGATTTTGTTAGTGTGAAATGTGGCTCACTTGTTAATCTGAAGTGTGTAGCTGCTGATGTTCAGATGGTGGTCAGTTGCTTCCCAGTAGCAGGTGATGTTGGTGTACTGCATGATCACACACTGGGTGATTGAGAGTGCTGCTGCTGCTGCTGCTGCTGCGATGGAGACAGGAATACTATGTAGAGAGAAAATGTCTAAGAATTTGTCTGAACACAAACACAAGTCCCGCTGCTTATTAAAACGGCATAACATATTAACAACTTACATGTGGCCAGCCTGACATTTTGTAAATACACTTGACATGAGAACATGGTTCAAAATCACACTCGTACAGTTAAAATCTTTATTATATTATTAAGCATTTGAGTAATATATCTTTATAGCGTCTCGGTGTGACAACTAGCCCCGCTCTGTCCTATACAGCCCGATTCAACACTGATTAGCGGCAGGCTGTGTGTGAACTGACCCACAAAGCAAACAAACATATCCGATTTCAGATAAAGGGCAAGAAAGAATCCAGAGCTGGGAATTGTACAGAAACTCTCAGCAGGACACATGCCTACAACATTGAGGGAAGTATTTATGGTGTTTCATTTTTACAGCTGTTTCGCAGCAGTGCACAATATTGTGTTGTTGTTTTGGGTAACGGAGGTGACGCAGTGAAACACTTCCATTACTTATCATACAGTTTGGGCGAAAACTGAGCCACAGCTTTCACAGATTTTGAAGGATGCTTTCAAATCAAATATTTTTTTGTGTTAGATGTATTGCCTCAGGTTTGACATCAGTTACGTTTATGTAAGAATGTTATTGACGTCCGTTTGGTGGAGAGGAAGGTTTTCAGTGAATAAATCAGTTTAGATCTGTTCCTTACACAAAACTTGAGTATAGCTACTGTAACACAGCGTATGAGTTGTAAGGCAAGGCAAGGCAAGTTTATTTATATAGCACATTTCATACACAATGCTAATTCAAAGTGCTTTACATAAAAGAAATGAAAAAAAAAAATATTATATAACGCGTTTTGCAGGATATTTGTAACAGATCAGATGGGGTTTAGAGCTATGTTTAAATTGCTCAGAGAGAGAGGGAGAACATGCATCCGATGGAAAACATTCATCATGTAATTGCAAACCCTACTCAGTCAAAACAATCTCAAAGCACCCTTGTGGAGATTCAAACACACAGCACACAATACTGTGATGAGGGACTATTTCTCACACTGCTATTGTCCATGAGCACGCAAACAACACTGGCACATTCTTTTGTTAACACAAGAGTTGCAAAATGACATACAAAGCATACAACAACAACAAAGCATGAACAATATATCACAAAAAGCTGATTCAAATCATGCCTTACGGTGTAACTAAAACCAAATATTTTGCTTAATATTTGCCATCAGCTGATAAAAACAATGAAAAAAGAAGAAAGTGTTATTATAGACATGGACTCGTATTTAAGCTGAAAGCAGCAGTTTAACATTAAAATGTCTTGATGGATTTGTTTATTACAAACACGAGACATTAACTGATGGACTGGAGTGGTGTGGATTACTTGTGGATTATTGTGATGTTTTTATCATCACAGTATCATTCTGACGGCACCCATTCACTGCAGAGGATCCATTGCTGAGCAAGTGATGCAATGCTACATTTCTCCAAATCTGTTCCCATGACAAAACAAACTTATCTACATCCTGGATGGCCTGAGGGTGAGTACATTTTTGTTTCTGAGTGAACTATTCCTATAAAAGTGCAATTTCACCCCAGTCATTCATATAGGATAGGAATATATTTTGTTTCCATGTCGAGTGATAAAAACAGTGGAAGTACTTGAACTAGAATGACTCAGAAATAAATGAAACATTTGGAGAATACAGAATCAAATGAGTTACGTACCTGAAGTCAAATAACTTCGCACAACCCTTGGCCTGTCATAAACAGAGTTTAAATAATCACAATGGCTCAGAGGAAGCAAGCATTTCAGATATCAACTTCCCTAAAGTCCCATTGGAACAGGTTATTGGAATTCATACAGTATGCTGTGGATTCTCATTCAATAATATGCAAATGAATGTTTTACCTCCCTTTGGGGTGTTGCACAAATATAACGTTAACATTTATTATATGTGGTTTGAGGAACAGACAGGAGAAACAACACAAAGTTTGCTCATTGAGTTTGAGCTCGCTAACCGAAAGAACCGGTTAACAGTCCAGCATAAGTTACTATGGTGATGAACACTGATTAAAGCCGAGCTACTTTCATGGTATACCTAAAGCCCAGAGTCGGTGCACTGCAAACTAAACTGAAACTCATCTGGCTAGCCAGTTAAACCGGCTTCATGGTACAGTTCAAATACGTTACAGAGGAATTGTGCAATTCTTAAATGTTGCTTTGATGCGTGTGATGCAACTTTCATTTTAATGTTAAAATGATCATTTCTAATGGGCCTGTACACATATCACATGATTCATGCGGTCTCCATAATGGCCGATTACTCACTTGCTCGATCGCTCAAACCAAACATATCAGCATTATTCCAAGTCTCTCGTGAGTTCAGTTGGATCTGTAAAATTTTCCATGTGACATCAGTGGTTCATCCGCAATTATACGAAGCTACGAGAATACTTTTTGTGCGAAAAAAACAAACGAAAAAAAACAATTCATTCAACAATTCGTCCCTTCAACAGTTTTAGTTTATTTAGCTTTGGTTATTTTAGTGCTTAAACTAATTTTTTTAAAAGGTTGTCTTGTCAACTAGGTGAAATAAAACAAGTTAACTTTTTAAAAAATATATATTTTATATCAAATAATGGTTATTTAAAAAAATAATAACTGACTACCACATGCTAAAAGTATGTACTTCCCTTGTGATGGGAATGTTCATAATTTGAGTATGTGGTAAGACAGCATACAAATATCTGGACCAAACACCAAATCACAACTTTTATAGCACAGATGTCATGCCATTTAATATTTGCACTGGCATGTTTTAGTTTCCTGCTACATGAACTGTGACAAAGAACCCAGGAAATAGCTCGATGAATGTAAATTTTCCTATGTCTATAACATATTTCATATTGAAACAGGAAGGTGTGGTGAGGCACATTGAAGGGATTGTCCCAGTGTAAAAATAGCTAATAACCTTTAGTTTACTTCACACCTAATTTGCTACTTAGGGAACATTAGCCCAAAAAACAAACACACCTACACTCTTTGAAAATACACTACAAACAGTGTAGCTTGCCTGAGACCACTAGTGAAAATGCTTCTACTTTGCATTATTTATAATTTAATATTCATTTTTAATAATGAATAATTTCTCTCTCTATCTAATCTCCCCATTACATTTTCTATTAAAGCTGCAGTCCGTAAATTTTGCCTCTTTGTCGCCATCTCTGTTTGAAAACCTGGAATTGCAGCTGTGTGTGGAATTATCTAGCTTGCGTGGGTTGTGAGTCGGCGCGGCTCCAGCGCGGATGAATCTAATGTTCTGAAGAGTATGAAGAGTATTTGAGTATTGAAATAATAACACTTCCAATACAATTTTCCGAAAGATGGTTTTGGTCATTTAAGGTAGTTGTTATCACGTTGATATATGCTCTATTGTTCGTTTTTGTGATAAGTTTGATTTTAGCTAGTAACTTGATGCTATAAAAACGGGGCGTGTCGTTATGGTTGACTGAGTCTGCGGGAGTTTGGGCGGGAGTTTGATACTGTGGTACCACCTCACGACACTACTGCGCAGACTCTGGCTCCAAACAAATCTCTACTGCGCAGACTCTGGCTCCAAATGACGTAATTTATTCAAGATGGCAGCGGCCGAACTGAGATGCCTTGGCTTCACTTTTATATAGTGGAAGGATTAGGAGATGCGTCATCCATCTTTTTTTTACAGTCTATGGTAGCAGTCAGTCACTGCACCGATGTGGACTGTACTTCGCAATCACAGATTCTAGCCTACAACTTGGAATATGACCCAAATAAGAATTTTAACCGTATATTGCCATCTGAACAAGTAAGTAACAAGTCTGCCACGTTTGTTCTGACCAACTGAGGAAAAAAGCATTACCATTAATCTCGCTACCAATGGTGATTAAATCTAAAGATCGGTTAGCTCATATCACATCAAACCGTTCAAATTATTATTATTGTTATACTTTATTCTAGGGCTGCACGATAAATCGCATGCGATATTTAATGCGCATCTTGTCAGTAAAGCCGGTTCTTTAATCAGCGGTAAATCTCCATCACGTGCGGGCTTTCACATGGAGCAGCATTAACTACACAGAGCTGTTGTTCACTGACAAGCTGTGCAAAATCACGATCATATTTTGCGCAGCTTGTCGGTGAACAACGGCTCTGTGTAGTTAATGCTGCTCCATGTGAAAGCCCACACGTGATGGAGATTTACCCATTATTACAGAATGGCTTTACTGACAAGATGCACGTTAAATATCGAATGCGATTTATCGTGCAGCCCTACTTTATTCTCAAATGATTAATGTTAACAACATCAGCATTGGTGACTATGAGTATAGTGTGTATTAGCGTGTATATTTAAATTTCTGCTCAGTTTAATCTAATTGTCATACTCTTCCAATTTCATTTTAAGAAATTATTTTAGACCCAAAAAGCTAATTATGCTCCTTTCGAACTGGTTTTCTTTAAAATACAAATCTTTGTAATCCCAGCCTATCTGTAATCAGAAGCACATTTATAACTGGAATATAAATTTAATTTCATTCACATGTGTTTCATAAACACATAATCCTTTATGGACTACAATTCGGTATCAAAATGATTCATTTAATTATTCTGGCTGCTGTGAGAAAAGGCTATAAACGATCGGTCACCTGCAGGATCCTCACATGCGATAGCCTAGAAGCCGGGACAACTTCTTTATGTTTACAGACGTGACGTAATGACGCAGTGTCATGCTCGAATTTCCCGCGAAAACCTACCCGTACCACTCAAATTAGAAAACATTATTATAAG